CCATTTAGTTACAGGGAAAAGTAATTTTCCTCTCAAGGAAAGCCAGAGTAAAATATGAATTTTTTTTTTATACCGCTGAAGCAGAAATAATTTCTATAAGTTTAAAAGTGCGTGAGTGATACAGTGAATCATGAATTGAAATACTTTTGAATAAGCTTGTATAGACACTTATTTTTATATTCCTTAGCCTTCTACTCATCTAAAAATCTACCTTGAAAGGCATCAACAATTTAAAGATTAAATCATAAGTTATTAAGCCATTAATTTAACCATTTAAGCCTCTAAAATCAGCACATACTACCTTCCCCCAAGTCAATTTGCAAGAGATTAAAATAATAAAAATGATAATATCTCACACTTACAAAGCAGCTTTGATCTGCTGAAGCCTAATGTACTTCTTCAAAACTTTATAGAAAAACTAAGTCCATCCACCCACATCTCAGAGTACATCTGAGGTAGAAGCTGGCAGCTGGCGAGGAGCAATGGAGTAATTTACCATCTGCACAGAGACAACTTGTAAACTAGTAGAGTATAGAAATAGGGAATAGTGCAGTATAGTATAGTCTAGATGTAGGTTGGAAATGCAAACAGAACTAGCTATTTGATAAGTAAATGGGAAGTTCTGTGGCTCCAGATTCCATGGGTTATTTAAAATTTCACCAGAATAAGTCGCTTAACTTCTAGAGAAGTTACTGGTCCTACTTATTTTCTCCAGACTTTCTTGGGAAGGATAGATAGTACAAGTTTCACCTCAGAAAATGAGTAAACTGACTATGATATTCTCTTCTCTTTTCATGTTTCTCTTTCTCACTCAACTTAAAATATCCTCATAGAGTATGTACCTTTTTTTTTTTTTTAATTGCTAGAGGTCATGTACGCTTGCTGGAAAGAGAAAGAGAGACAGAGAGAAAGGGAGAAAGCAACCCCTAATGGAGCATGTTCATGCTGCAATTCTTTCTCCATTTCTCCATCCCACTGGAATTTTGGGCATGCACGCGCACACACACGCCTGCTGTTTTCAAGCTACCAGGGCTGGGATTTGAACCATGGTTGGCCATGGGGTCCAGCTCCCTTAATCACTAGGCTATAGGGCTGGGCCTAGAGTATTTATCTTTCTTTAAAAAAAATTGCCAGAGGATGTATACACTGGAGGCAGGGGACAGAGAAAATGAGAAAGCACCCCCCACAGGGGATGGTCACACTGCAATCCCTTCTCCTTTCAGATTTTGGGCATGCACAAATGTGCATTCAGCATGTTTTTCAAGGCACCAGGGCTGGAATTCAAACCACAGCTGGCCATGTGGATCTGGATCCCTTAACTACTAGGTTGCAGGGCTGGCTCTAGAGTATTTATCTTTTTTTTTTTTTTTTTTTTTTTTAATAATTTTGCCATAGTGCATGTGTGCTCAAAGGGGAGGAAGAAAGAGAGAGAAAGAGAGACAGAAGAAAAGTGAGAAAGCACCCCCCCCCCCATCAAGAAGCATCTTGATGTCTCAGTGTGTATGACTGGAACCCTGTATGAGTTCTGCTTCTGCCATCCATTTCAAGCACCCTGGATGAACAGTTTTCTGTCACATGCCTAAATAAGAGACTAACTTCTCAAACTTAAATTTTTTGCTAATCTGCTTCCTTTTTAAAATTTTTTTATTTTACTTTTATTCATTCATTTTATTTTTAATTTGACCAGAGAGATACATATATATATATATATATAGAAAGAGATATATATATATATAGAAAGAGGGAAAGTGAGAAAGCAAGCCACCAGGTCCAGGACTCGAACTATGGTAAGCCATGTAGGAGTGTCCAGCACCTTAACCACCACACCACCTGCTGGTCCCGATAATCTGCTTCCTTTTAAATACAATATGTACTTTTTCACTTTAGACTCTTTCCTAAAGAAAACTGAAATACTGGGTTGTTGGGAAAGTCATGACCCATTTTTGCACAGAAAAACATGTCATGACCTTCCGACAGCCTAATAATTCTGTACTATGGAGTAGACTCTATAGGGTGAGTATCTGGCAGCAAGGTAAGCTGTCTTTACTGGGAAGCACTCCAGTTCTCAAGCTTCTTTTCCCTGAGTCTGATTTTCCCACATCTCTTTGACTTATAGTCAGTTCATATCTGTAAAAGATCAAAAATAAATAAAAGGATTTAAGTAAAAGAAATACTTCAGCTTGATATAAAAAATAATGGAAACCCTGGCTACCATGTAAGAAGAGACAGCCATTAACAGTTGTCATTATTGGGGCTGGCAGGTGGTGTGGTTTTTAAGGCGCTGAACTCCCACATGGTTCGAGTCCTGGACCTGGTGGCTTACTTTCTCACTTTCCTCTCTCCCTCTCTCTCTGTCTCTCTGGCCAAATTAAATAATAATAATAATAATAATAATAAAACAAATAAATAATTCTTTTTTAAAAAAAGAGTTGTCATCATTGATTTTTGTTGTTGTTAAGCACAGCCTCCCACTGTTCTAGACAACTTATAGTGCGCTTGCTAGATTGTAAAAGAGATGGACCAGATGGTTTCACAGTCTTTTCAGCTCTAGAATTCTAGTCCATGTTGTTCTAACTTCACAATGGCTCAGTGGGGCCATGTTGAGAAGGTAAGGAACTGCACTTGGAGAAGGGAAGAAGGGTGAGCATTGCGTTAAGGTGCCACACAGACTCCGATTATTACCTAATACGCAATCAGCCTCTGATAGGTTCTTGGGAAAAATCTTCCCAGAGATATATCTCTGTTCTTCCATAGAGCCAATAATTGACTCTGAACAGCTCAGCTAAGTACATTAATGAAAGGACTACACTGGGGCCAGCAGATGGTGTGGTGGTTAAGGCGCTAGACTCCCACATGGCCAGCTGTGGTTCGAGTCCAGGACCTGAGGCTTGCTTTCTCACTTTCTCTCTCTCTCTCTCTCTGTTGCACACATGTGCCCTATAGCAAATTAAAAAAAAAAAAAAGAGCCCTACATGAATTTTTTCCACCCTACCGACTCATACCTATGATCCTTCTTTTAATCAATTGATACAAACTTAAGAAATGAAAACTAGGCCAGTCAGTGGCCAGACAGTTGTGGTTGCGGTGGCTGGCTCCCACATAGCCAGTCTGCATGGTTTGAGCCCTCCACTCTGTGGCTCAAAAAACACAATGGGTGTGTGTGCATGCATGCCCCAAGTCCCAAGAGAATGGAGGAGAAGGGATTGTGATGTGGCCATCTCCCCTGGTGGATGATTTCTCACTTTCCTTCTCTCTGTCTCTCTCCAGTGAGCACATGCACCCCATACCAAAAAAAAAAAAAAAAGATTAATCTTGATATGTATGTAAAAGAGCATCATCTGGAAGATAAGTTAACTCTTAATTTAAAAATGTATTATAAAGTTAAAAACTCAAACAATAACTGTCCCTACCCACCCTGATATTCTAATTTAGGTTTACTTGGGAATACAGTTACTTAGGTTTTACGTACATACCTGGACAAAGGTAGATACATATATACATTTACACACACACACACATCTAAGAGGTAAGAAATTAAAATGAAAGTAAAAATCCCAATACCTTCTTCATGGCCTGACATTTGGCTGTCTCAGAAAAGCCAATCATCTTATCAGGAGAACAGATCTTGATGAAGGGGAAGTTGGACTCCTCTGCAATCTTTGCAGCTAATGCAGTCTTCCCACTGTGAGGAGGGCCTGCATAAAGACACAAGCGTCAGGGGAGAAAAGCCAATCTAAGCAAAGGAGAATAAGACAAGTTTAAACTTTTATCCACAATGTACTGAGGCCTCGACTAGTTGCTCATTAACATTTCTGAAACAGTTTTGTAGCAGAGATGTTTTCCCTTATTTATTAGCAACTAAACTTAATGAGCTGATTAGCATTTCTCAAAAGTATGGTGAAACACATGCCTTCTTACTTTCTCACATGGCCTTAATCTTTCAAACTTCTGGCTAAACGTATAAAGTGCAAG